CTCACCTGTGAAATAAAAGGCAGCCAACTGATATGCTAAAGTAAATAAAATTCAACAATAATACAAATATAAGTATATATTGTTTGACATTCTGGCTGGACCGGAACAATACACTGACTACACAAAGACATTCACTGAAGTGCTCTCATTAGAGAAGAAAAAATAACAGTAATAAACAACTGGAATGTCTGTAAGCTCGGCCACAGTTAAGCATCCTTTAAGGGCCTACCGTGTGCCAGGTACAGAGAGTGAAAAGGGAAGACTTGGGCATCTCCTGGCCCTCAAGAAGCTTCAACTCTAACTCGGGAGACAGGTATATGAACAGATAACTGATACGGTAAGAGGAATACGGTGAAATAAATTGAATATTATCAACTCAACAAAACTGTGCACAGTCATTAAAATGATACTTACGGAGATTACAGAGCAGCCTGAGAAATATTTATTAAAAAATTAGGCGAAAAAGCAAAACACAACGTTATCTATTCTGTGATAGTAACTATAATAGATGGATTATTAACAAAGGATAGAAGAAAACATGTTAAAATACAAAGATTTTTTTGCTATGAGGTGAGATCCTTCACCTCTCATTTTTTAATTCTTGAATGTTGTTATAATAGCAATGATGCAATAAACATGAAAACATTTGGTTTTCAAGAAAATACATAAACTTTGTGCCAATTCAAAGTACCACAGTTTGTGGCAGATTACATTTTATTAAAAACCAAATTTTTTACTTGATATATGTGATTAAGTAAAAAAATTAATCCTTGGGTCAAATTATAATATTAATTAATGAGTATGTTCTCTCTCTGTTTTTTTCCCTTCACACTTCAGTCTTGTTCCAGTTTTTGCTTTTGAGAAAACTATTGGGGGGGGGGTATTCTGAAAAGAAAACCAAAGGAACCTAAAGTTTGTACAGAAACAGTCACTAAGAATTGGTAAGGACACCGAGAAAACGGCATACTTGATTCTGTACCTGCAGAACCATGATGGGAGATGAGGTTCTAGAGCCTGGCCTGGCCGTGAGCCGTGAAACCAGACTCAGTTATAAAATATCCCAGAAGCACTTGCTGAAGTGAGGTGAGGAGGAGCACGGGGAGCGGAAGCAATAGCTCCCGTCCCTCTGAGGCCTCCGAAAGGGCCAGAGTGCCCGGGAGCTCCCCCTAGGGCTCGTGCGCTGGGCCAGGCCCCACGCAGCAAAGGGGCAAAGGCCTAGCAGATACACTGTCCGTCTGACTGGAAAAAGCATTTTCTCAACAGCCCTGACACACGCAGCAGTATTCCTTGCAGGGACAGCGCAGAACCTGAAGAGACTCTGGTGCACTGGGCAGGGCCAAGAAAAGTTAACAAGGGAAACGCTGCTGTAACACCGCACTGGACGTTAATCAGGTCATCTCCAGGAGAGCAGGAAGGCTTATATCAAGGGCGTTAATTTGCCCCCAAGGCCCTGTTTTTACCTTGATTTAGCAATTCCCCCTGACAGCAATTTGCTGTCCTCATCCCACAGAAGGCCCCAAGCTTGTGGATCTGTCCTTCTACCAGCTTGCCTTTGGTAGCCCCTCAAGGAGAAAAGCTCCCCAGGAAGGAGACAGAGCTTTATTTTTATCCCAGTTAAAGTCCCTATCCAATCCATTAAGAGTTCAGATAACCTTGGTCCAGGGCATTTCCTGGAGAAGCTCTAGCCAGCTAGGGTTAATGAACTCTCCCCACCATTAATTCCTGGGAGAGGCCATTGGCCTGAATTGTTACTTAATTACTCTTCTGTGTACAGCTTCATAAAGCAAAGAAATGCCTTCTTTCAGGAAGAAAGGAGATGGTAATGGGGTCATCAGAGGCCATTAATTTTACAAATAGTTTGTTAGAAACTACAGTATTTTACGAAGTCACTCTGGCCCATAAATCAACTCAACGTGGTTCTTATTAGTAGAGATCCCTAACTTCACAGGTTTCTGTCGCTCGACACACAAAAAGTTACAAATCAAGCAGGATCTGGTCGCAATTTACCTACTCAGGTATGCAAATACATATTCTTTATGTTCTGCAGCTCATCTTATCTCCCCGTCTACTCCCTATTCCTACAGCTGGCAGATGGAGCCAACTCCAGACACCACGGCCTTTCCCTATTTAAAACTTTCAGGTTGGTTTTTGTTCTTTCAAGGACCTGCTCCCTCTGAAGAGCTCTCTTCTTTCCAGGATGATGACAGGTGCGTGGGAAAGCTATGTACCCCTGAGGCATTGCAGGAGGCGCACGAAGGCCTTCCCACCCCTTGGTGCTCCTGTATCCATGATGTGCAGCCAGGCCCACCGGGGCCTGGGCTTGCTCTGCAGGTGTCCACGGACGCCTGGCGATTCCTGCCTGGTCTGTCAGGCTGCACGCTGGTCCCCGCTGCAGGGACCTTGCGATTCCTCTGGTTATAAGAACCGCAGACCCTGGCTCTTCAACATGCCCCAAGGTCTCTTCTTGTTCCTCAGGCTCTTAACACACCTACACCCCCGCTTTGGGGTCTGGGGATGTTCTGTGGCGCCCTCCGCACCGTCCGATTTGAAACTGCAACAATCTCCCCGCCCCACACAACTGCCTCCGTGTGCTCTTCTTCATAGCATTCCCCGTCCGTCATACCAAGGAAAATTAATCTCTCTTTTGTTTTTTGTTACCCATCCCCCACTGGAATGTAAACTGCATGAGGGCAGGTACTTCCCGCTATTTTGCTCACTCTGACTCCACCGTGCTTAGCAGAGTTCCTGGCACCTGTCGGTGCTGGACCAATGTTTGCTGACTGTATGGGTAGCTAGTTGGCTATGTGATGGGATCAGATTGCTGGCCACAGGGCCCAAATCCCCATATCAGTCATGCTTGGGCAGGAAGAGAGGCCAAAGTAGTACAGGAGAGGGATTCCCCCACCAGCCCACATGCCGTCCAGAAATCAGGTCCAAAGGGCAGACCTGGCCATAAACCCCACACGCCCATTTGGGCTCTGACTTGGCACAAACGATGAGAAACTGCCGCCTGCCCACCCCACTGTGACACGCTGCCCCGCCCATCCTTTGTCAACAGCAGAGGCATGATGCCTTGGAAGGTTCTGAGACTCTATTGGGTGGTTCCCCTGGGGAAAGATTAGACTCTTCAGAAACTGACTAGGACAGGATCAGGGAGACCACAGACACTGGAAGGGAGGTAGAGTTGGTTGAGAAATGGAGAAAAAGAGGGAAGCAAGGGGCACAGAGAACCAAATAATTTACTTCTGCTTGGTTTTTCTGAGCCCTATTTAATACCAAGGAGTACCTGGGTGTGGAAACAGTTAACACGCTCGGCTGCTAACCGAAAGGTTGGAGGTTCAAGTCTACCCAAAAATGCCTCGAAGGAAAGGCCTGGCAATCTACTTCCAAAAAGTCAGCCACTGAAACCTCTATGGAGCACAGTTCTACTCTGACACACGTGGGGTTGCCATGAGTCAGAAGTGACTCAACAGCAAGTGGTTTGGTTTTTGGCTAATACTAAAGACGTTAGTATCTGGAGTTTCTTAGGCCAGGCTAGAGAACAGAGAGATTACTTTTCAAGGCATTTATGCACTTCCGGTCATGCCCATAGGGCCTTAAGGAAAGCAACTAGACAAGCACAGAACAGGGACTTCAGAACAACTGATAGCCTCTCTCTCTCCCTATTGTCTTGTATAAATTTCCACAGGCCTTTGTGTGGTGAACAATCTCTAAATATATCTGCTTGCAGGAAATATATTGAATTTTCCAGCATTATCCCTGTATCCTACTGAGACATACTCAGAGCATGGGCAAAAGAATTAGAGACCTGGGCTTTGTCACGGCCAGAATTTAGGGGTTAGAGAGGGAAATCAGTTACCTGACTTGGCTCCCGGGTTTTAGGACTCTTGGCTAGTTATTCTGTGCTTCAGGAATGGACCCACTTCCCCAATTCACTAGATATACCTCTGCTGGCATTTTAGGGAATGAACAATGGAAGAACACAAGCAAGAGCAACCAGATTATGAGTAAGTAATCATGATCATGCAAAGCCACATCCAGGGACCAAGATGTGAAGCGGACGAGGTCTGCTACCAATACCTTCCCACATCTTCCAGTCTCCCTTTCCACTTCCACGCCTATCCATTCATCCCCCACTGCATCCCACCCCAAGCACCGTACACCCTTTTGAAGTGATAACTATTGTAAAATCTCCTAGCCAGGCCAGCCCTTCCAAGGTAAGACTTCATTTTCCAAGATCATCCTTCATTCCTACCCACAACAAAAGTCCCTTTGCCTCTCTACTCCCAATGACAAGCCAATGAATTGATTCACATAAGCAAGTAAAAGAAAAGTCTACCACGTGCTGGGTACTATTTTTAGGCTCTCTACAGTTACCATGATTTCATTCAAACTGACTTCATAAAAAGATGTCTGCATTCTTGAAAGTACATGCCTGGAACATTCCTGCATTTGCTCCATGGAATGATTTCTCATGGAAAACTTGGTGGCAGGCAAGTGAAGCAATTTGGAGGTGGGAGGAGGGAAAGACTGAAGCCCTACTGTGCAGCTGTAAACCTCTTGTGACTCTGCACAAAGCCAGCGCTAACCAGAGGTGATGTGCCAGCTGTCTAGATAAAAGTACTGGGGGAAAAAAGTATATTGCACAAGCAAGTTTTATGAACATTTTACCTGAGAAAAGATTGCCAAGGGAAATCATTATCTCCAACCCAAAAAGGCGAAAGCTTCCCATGGAAGTACAGTGGAGCTGTACTGCCATTTTGAGCACCTTGCAGGAGATAGCCTTGGAAAGACCTCTCTTGCTGACAGATTTGAGAATTTTTTAAACAAACTGTAGAACATTCTTAGCAAACAGAACTTCCCCCAAATGAGAAAGAAATGCTATGCCCCCAGGAAGACCCAGGTCAATTAATTACATGTCTTCTATAAACCCCCTTGGCCCCATGGTTATTGATCTTAAGATAACTGGTTCTTGTTCCTTTGCGGGGCTGAGTATATAGGTCGGAGAAAATGGAAATCTTAAGATTGGAACAGTCAAAGAGAAATATTAACAGTTTGAACGTGGATCTTGAAAGGGATATGCAGAAAATAGATGAAGCCAATCAGGATCTTTTTCTCAAAATCCAAGAGAAAGAAGATGAGATTCAGAGGTAAGTGTCGGGGTTTCTGTGGGAAGTTCCCAATCCAAAGGAAAGGGGTGGAGAAGAAGAGACAAAAACTGAACTTCTTGCTTGCTCTAGAGACTTACATCTTGTACAGCAAATGGTCTCTTCTTTACTCATTGGCATTTATGTGTGGCTCAAACACTGAAACACAGTGGGTTTGAAATATTATTTCTAGAAGACTAGTTGATAGTTACCTGACTTGAGAACACCAAGGGGTTTGGCTTGGAAATCACATAGCTCTTACTTTCCCTACCTTTATGAGATTCTGTGATTTGGGGAAGGAGGGTTTCCAACTGGAGATTCATGTTTATCATTACTAATGGACCCTCAAAACCGGTATGCATCTTACCAGTTCTGAAACTGGCCATCACGGGTCCTCATGTGAGTGTCCTTTTGCCATCCAGGCTGGAAAGTGAGCTCACTCAGACAGCAGACCTGGCAGAAGACGAAGAGTGGGAGAAGGAGAACAGTACCACCACTGAGAGGGAAAGAGCCTTGCAGGAGCTGGAAGAAGAAACAGCCAGACTTGTAAGGGAGAAGCTGGGGGGTGGGGGGGCATCTGATAGACTCCCTTCCTCATCCTGCCCCTCATCAGCTGTCAGATAAGTGGGACTTCCCTTCCTAAATACAAGGAACAGTGAACTCAAAAGTCATGACAGAACGTCCATGCATGGAAGGGGACATGGGAGGGCAGGGTTTCTTTGGTAATATTTAATACTGGGAAGCCCAGCCCATGGGTGTCTCAATTCCTGATAAGCCGGTGTTTATATACTGAGATCAGATCACAGGTACCTCACCTGACCACATGCAAGTAAGGCAGAGTTCCCACCAGGAAAATATCACTGGGGTGGGACGGAGAACAATGACTGAATGCAGAGGGCTAACGTGTGCAGGAGATGGTTTCTCTCTCTTCACAGGAAAGGAAGAATGAAGCACTGGTCCAGAGTATAGCAGAACTTAAAAGAAAGGTGAGGCAGGGTTCCCGTATCCCCCGGGGTCCCCATATCAGAGGCAAGGGTGGGAAACTGATCACAGAAGAATCCATGTCCGAGAGCTTGGAATGGGTACCACACAACTCCCCACCCCACACTCCTGAGGTGGAGGCTCTTTACCTAAATGCCATAGGTCTTCTCTGCCAGTGTGAGGTGAGCGGAGTGAATGGGTATTCAGTGATTCCATGGGTTCTTCACTATATCACAAGAAAATGGATTCCAACAGACACTACTGAAGTCACTGACTTCACCTTCACCTTTTTGGTGAGAGGTCAATTTCATTTGCAACCAGGGACTTAGAAAATACTGAATTGCCTAGGAACCCTTTGCCCTGTCTAGGCATTGCCTCTATCTCAATCTCTCCTCATAATACAGTGAGCGTCCCATGATTCCCCTACTCACTAACCCATGGCCTGAAGCCCTAAGTAACCCAGCATTAATTCGAGGCTCGAGGAAGTACCCCTGCCTTCAACTGGCTTTAGCCTGGTGGCCCAGACAAGTGTTTCCACAAGGTACGAAGTGCCACCAAGGGGCCATCTCCTGGCAGTGCTTATCAAGGCCAGAGATACTGGCCCCCAGATACCAGAAAATACCTTTGTCTTCTGTATGTTTTTATCTAATGTATTTTTTTATCTGAAATGTATTTTTTTATTTGAAACCGTAGCTTACAAGGAGAATACATGAGACAACCAGGTGTGAACAAGGCAACCTAGGCGAAATCACGGAGGAGTCACAGGTAAACAAAAAAGGCGTCCTGAGTGGGTTTGGGCTATGTGACTATGAAATGAGGAAATTAGCCATCAAGTTGGAAACAAGCGTCCAAGTTGGAATAAATTCTCTGTAGTTTTAACCGATGTCAAGGTTACACCTGGGCCCCGGAGTGTTAGATTCTCCTCTGTCCTTAGTAAGGCACTTCACTCTGAAACCATGTTTCTTGTTCTCTCCTCTGTCGGGAAGGGTGGGGCACAAATGCATACATAGCATTAAAGACAGCTGAAGTCCCTGGTTTAAATTCTTGCTCCAGCACTTAGTTTGACATGTAAAGTTGGACAATTTAACCAGTCTTTCTCAGCCTCAGTTTGAGGATTATATATGAGAGTGTACATGTGGAATAGTCTTTCCTCTTCTGGATGGCTGAAATCTCAAAAAGCCACATAACTTTAAAGTGATCTCTGAAAAGTCTGGTTGAGATATACATATGAATTCATAGAGGCGGAACTAGGATTTGGAAGCCTAATGTGTGCTAGGCAATTTACACACCTTGTTACTGATTCCAAACCAGAAAATGTTTCATTCAGTTAGTCACTCAAGTATTTAGTGATCTCGACCTGCTAAGCAGGGAGACCTGGTGGCACAATGGTTAAGCGCTCGACTGCTAACCAAAAGGTTGGCAGTTCGAATCCACCTGGCAGCTCCACGGAAGAAATACCTGGAGACCTGCTTCTGTAAAGACTGCAGCCTAGAAAACGCTATGGGGAGTCCTACTCTGTCACGCTGGGTCGCAGTGAGTCGACAATCAGCTCGACAGCACCCAACAACCTGCTAAGCACATCACGCAGCGCACAGCATTTCTCTAAGAACCTGCAGCCAACCAATCCATCTGATCAAAGTAGCAAATGAAGAATTGAAGAGTATTTTTTTCATTCAGAGTAGATAAAATTTTTTAAAGCAAGTATTTGAATCATTTATTGTCATTAAGTTACAGCATTTCAATATACACACTGCATGGAAATCCACAGATAACCTTTTCCAACGCTGGGAATAAGATCTTAGGTATGTGGAGAGCTACTGGCTGTCTCATGATCATTAAAGAAAAAGTAAACAATTCCAAGTGCTAATAGTGATAAATTTCACTCTTGTCAGTTTTCGTGAAGGACATTCTAATAGATGATATACATATTACTGCAGCTAAAACCATCAGTGGGAATTATTAAAGTACTTGCATATTTTGAGCTACTCTTTATGAAGAGAAGTGAAATATTCAGTACTTGTAAGGCAGCAGAGAGCTGGTATAGCTACTCTCGGCTATTTCTAGAAAAACAGCCTGGTTAGGAGAAACAGCACACAGCCTGTTTTGCCTCAGTGAGTCTATTCACTATGTGGAATCCACGACTCCACAGCAGCGGCGGCCATGCTGCCCCTCCAGAGAGCAGGCCTCACTTTGCATTGCTACGCGGATGCCTTTCCACTCGTGTCTGATAAGCCGCCCTCCCTGGATGCGCTGGGCCACCTCGCTGGTCGCCGGCCGCCGGCCACACAAACAGAAGCCAGTTCTGAGGCTGGGCCTTGTAGGCGAATCCCATGAACGTCAGAAGGTAATAGCAGACAGCAAACATCATTCGACCACAGGTCACCTCTGGGGATTTCTTCACGTCATGGATGGCAGCAGTGGGAAGACCCCGGTTGGCTGCGGGTCCCCTGAAGTGCATACTCACAAGGTAGTCCTGGAGGTCCCTGTGTGGACACAGTCCATGCCTTCCACACCAGGGTGCCCGCTGAGGCCATGCGGGTCCCACCGCCCCTCGGAGTCCAGTGACAACTGGTGACCAGTCACGGCGAGGGGCAGCCCAGGTCTGCACGACAGCTGCCACGGCTGACCTAGATGGAATTCTTACTTGGCACTTCCTATAGAACGCACCTTTGTCCTCGCCTGGTCTCATTTCTCTCTGCATTCTGGAGCCCACTTTCCTGTATGAGCCCTCTGAGGACACAGGCATGCTGGAAATAGAAAAGGACAGCACAGAGAACGGCTCCCCTATCTTCTGCTGGCCAATTTAGGGTTGGTGGTCACAAAAATAGGAAGCTTAGTGCCACCAAGTGAGGCTGGCTGACCATTGCCACCCAAAAAACTTACCTGAATAAAGGAAATCTGGACCCGAGTGTACACAGGTGCTAAGACTAAAAAGGGTTATGAAGACCCCTGACTCCCCTTGCCATGCAGCTTCAGCCGTCAGAAAACTCATTTTCCTTCAGGATCCCTTCTTCCGCCCAGAACCACTTTTCCTGACCGTAAGCCAGCGAGAATCTGGTGGTGACTCCACATCTAGCCATGCTGGCTAGGTCAGGTGAGCCGAGCTGACAGAGTCGCAGGCATCTGTCCAAGCAACGGCCACTCTGCATCCTCCTGGCAGAGTCAGCCCGGCCCTGGAGAGTTCTGGAGCAGCACTAACCCGCCGAGCCGCTTCCTCTTGCCAGGGTGTTTACAGACCCCTCAGTGGCACCTCTAATTCTAGGAAAGACCACCTCTTCTGCTCCTGTTCCTCTGACATACTGGTGATCAGTTCAGCAACTTAATGGGGTGTCTGCTTCAACTTCGTGCCACTCAGACCACTGGCTTCAAACTATAGCCCTTGGCACACTAGGCTGGCTGGCCCTGAAGGCAATTACTTAGAGGGGAAAGAAACTGTTAGAAGAATCCAGACGCGAGATAATGGGAACTAAATGAAAGTAGGGACAATAGAACTGAAAAGGGAAGTAAGGAGGCAGTCATGTCAACTCCACCTCCGGGTACACCCCTAACGATGGGTTCATTTCTGTCCACTACTACCATTACTACTGCCTTTCCCAAACCACCATAACCTCTCACCTGGACAACCGCAGGAACCTCATGGCTAGCCTCCTCCCTTCAACTCTTCAACCCCAACAATCCAGTTTTCCATGCACAGAAGACTTTTTAAGAACACAAATCAGACTGGGTCTCTACGACTTCAGGCCCTCCTCCAACTTCCCACTGCAATTAGAATTTAAAAAAACAAACCCTTTACTAGAAGGTACAAGCCCCTTGCCAGCTGTCGAGTCAATTCCAATTCATAGCAACGCTTTTAGAACAGAGCAGAGCTGTCTCATAGGGTTTCCAAGGCGGTAATCTTTACCGAAGCAGACTGCCGCATCTTTCTCTCATGGAGCAGCTGGTGGGTTCAAACCATCGACCTTTAAGCTAGCAGCCAGGTGCTTAACCACTGCACCACCAGGGCTCCTTAGAAGGTAAAAGGCCCTACCCATCCCACCTCATCTCCTGCCTACCAGTCTTGCCTGTGCTCCAGCCACACGCTTCTTCATACACACCAAATCTCGGCCACCTCCCAGTCATCGCCCTTGCTCTAACCAATGCCTGGAACACCTTTCTTCCAGATCTTCAGTAGGCTACTATTTCTCATTTAGATTGCAACTCAAATATCACCTCTTCAGAGAGAACTTCCCCAACCACCGACGTCAGCCGTCACACAACCACCACCATCACTCACTCTCCATCACATTATCCTGTTCCGACTTCCTTCCTAGCACTCATCCCTATCAATGTCACGTCACCTAATTTATTATGTCCCCCAACTAGAACGTCAGCTCTATGAGGGCAGACAGCCTGTCAGTCCCGTTCACCTCTGCATTCCCAGTACCCAGCAGAGCAACCAACATCGAACAGGCTTTCAACAAACATGTAAGGAAGAGAGGAAGGAAAGTGGGAGGGAGGAGGAGCAAAAACCTTCGATTCTAACTGAATACATGAAAGGAAAAGGAAGAGTGAAGTTTGTCAAGACTAATGTAACTGCCTGCTAAGTAAGACAAGGAAGCTGAGAAGTTTGGGGTGGAGGTATGAACTGCTGACACTAGGGATCTGGATGGAGGTGAGCAGGTTCGCTGAGCAGCTGCAAGGGAGGAAGCTGGGTGGTTTGACTCCTCCTCACAGAGGCGTCTGAAAATCACGGCCTTGGTGCACTTCAGCAGCCTGAGATGACCTTGAGCTAGTCCGGAATGGGATTGTGTACGGTTTCCACCTTCCTGAGTTACGGTCTCCTCTCTTTCCTGTAGGTCAGGTTACAACAGCTGGAAGCGTCCTGTGCAGACCAAGAGATGCAGCTGGGCAAGGTAACAACAATGACCTTCGAATGTTACTTCTCCCAAAAAGGGGGAATCTGATCCTGGGTCAGTCAATTTAATATTTCCCTAAAATGACTGTGTCATAACGGGCCAGCGCCAGGAACATCACGGGGCTGAGGAGGGGATGCAGAAAAGGAAGATGAATCCTGGCCCCCCGTTACCTTTTCTTTAACATTTTCTCCAGGATACAGTCTGTAGTCTGTCTTCTTCATATTAGTACCCATTCTTCTCCCAACCTCCCCCAAATAATTCACATTTAGGCTGTAAAATATGATACGCCTTGTTTATCCTCGAAAAAGAAAATGAGTTCAGATGGACAGCCTAATGCACTTAAAGCCACAGTTAGGGCTCCAGGAAAGAGGAGGACAGAAATTTAAGTCCAAATTTTGGCTTCCCAGGTCATGGAGGACTATGCATTTGTGATTCAGCTCTGTGAAGATCAGGCCCTCTGCATAAAGGTACAGCTTCTCGGTAAAAGGATAGCAAACGGTTTGTTAAGGTACAAAATGACATGGACCTAGGTTTTTATACGAACACTATCTTGAATAATTTGAACTCTCAAAGGTGCCCCTGTGAGGGGACTTTAAGGCCATCAACACCTGTCCTGGTTTCCTGGGGCAGCCATAACTAAATACAGTGCAACTTGCGGGAGCCGAGACTCGACGGGATTACCTTGTTTTTCTGGGTCTCACGAGTTTTCCACCTTGGACAGGGCACAGTCTTACCACTTCTCTATCACTCATTTTAGTGAAAAATATTTGCGTTTTCCTTCTCTGACAGGTTTCCACCTTACACAGATTCCAGCTTTTGCAGGTTTTACTGTATCACAGATAGAAATTTATTGCCTCGTAGTTCTGGAGGCTGGGAGTCTAAGATCAGGGTATCAGCCATACTGACTCCTTCTGAGGGCTCTAAGAGAGACTCTGTTCCATGCCTTTCCCTGGCCTCTGGAGCTCCAGGCATTCCTTGGCTTCCAGATGCAGCATCACACAGTGTCCCTCCTGTGTCTCTCCCATCTATGTGTATCTTCTCCTCCTTTATAAGGACACCAGACATACAGAATTAGAATACAACCTACTCCAGTATGACCTCCTGTTATCCCAACTGATGACATCTTCTAAGACCCCGTTTCCAAACAAGGTCACGTTCACATGTACCAGAAGTTAGAACTTTAACAGATTTTGTGAGGGAACACAATTCAATCCGTAACACCCCAGCCCTGGTACCACTCTATTGTTGACTCCCTGATAATTACTGCTCTGGGCTCCCAACCTCTATGCTCTTAAATTAATGAGTAACTGGTTCTTTATCCACTTATAACCCCCACCTACCACCCAGGAACCTACCCAGTGGTGAAGCTTAGTGAGAGATCAGTAGTAGAGGTGGATGGGGAACAATGAAAGGAGAGAAGGCGGCAGTGGGAAGACCGAATGTTCCCATCAGAATGTGATAATAAGTGCTTACTGTGATTAAACACAAAACTTCTAGATAGTAACTATGTTTTCCTTTATTTCTCTTTGAAGAAGTACCAGGGAACTCTGAGGAAAATAGAAGAAGAACTAGAGACTCGGTTCCTTGAGAGAGAAGTGTGAGCTTTGGCAAAAAAAAAGGAACATCCTGGTTTTGGTGGTAACTCCATCTCAGCCTGAGTCAGAGCAAACACTGCTCACACCAGTTCCCACCTGGAATTGAGTGAGCCCCAGTGCCACGTGTCTAGCTCCCTTTGTGAGTGATCTGGTCGACCCTAGCTAGGACAGACCAAGTTCACCGTTCCGGTCCTTCTCCCACCCTTCTTAAAAGACAGCAGAAATACATCTCCCTCACGATTTTTTCACATTCTCAATTATTTCGCTTTATATGAAGAGCACAAACCTGTGCTTTAAAAGGAGTTGATGGACAGTCATCTTGATAAGTAGGTCATTCTTTGTATTTCACAGTAAAGGTCTTAAAACGAATACCATCCTCACTTCAAGCCACACGCTTCAAACACACAGAAACCCAACCACATGGGATAGGCATGAAGAGAATCTTTACACACACACTATGGCTACCATAAGACTTGGAACTGTGCACTGTTGTCAACTTTCAACAACAAAAATTAGAAATAAGGAAAAAGCCTAAGGAAAAATATTCCAGATTTGTCAAATGAGTCTAAATGATGAGAAACCAAAACAAAAACCTCACTTCCATTTCTTGACCCTGTTTCTAACTTAAATCTTAACTCAGACAAAAAGTCATTTCTATATATCAAATATTTTGAATCTCTGGATCAAGAGCAAAAAACCAAAACCACATTTAGCCTTACAGTAGACCAGGTACACATGGGAGCACACTGTGGTCTGAGGACCAGGGGCCTGGACATGGAGGTCCTCGTTCCAAGTACAACTTCAAGTCTCACAAGATCCTTGCTGAGCAGTCAGATATGGCTGGACAAAAAGCTAAGATTCTAGAACAGGGTTTTCCAACAGGGCTTTCTGTGCTATGTGATATGGTAGCCAATATGCACGTGACTATTAAAATATGGTTAGCATGGCTGACATGGAGTCCCTGGGTGGCGTGAGTGGTTAAGTGCTTGGCTACTAACCAAGAAGTTGGCAGTTCGAACCCACCCAGAGGCACCTCAGAAGAAAGGCACGACAATCCGCTTCTGCAAGGTGACCGCCATGAAAACCCTACAGAGCACAGTTCTACTCTGACACACATGGGGTCGCCATGAGTCAGAGATAACTTGATGGCAACCAGTTTGGTTTTTAGTGTGACTGAGGAACTGAGTTTTAAATTTTAATTAATTTAAATTTAAATAGCTACATGTAGCCAGTGGCCACCGTATCAGATACCACAGCTTTATAAGATAAAACTGTTTTTAAATAACCATCATATAGATATGAGTATCTGAGTGTATTTTATTCAATCCCTATCTTGGTACTTCTCCCCCTAGATCAAAAGTCTTGAGCATGAACACTGCAAGAAAAGAGTGTAACAGTCAAAATAATAAGGCAAGTATTCTACTTTGTCTTCAGCGTCTCTCCGGGTCACTGCCTTTCAAGGGGGCGTTCCACAAACTAGGACCCACCCAACATTACTCACTCTTCCCATGTGCATTTTCAGAGAAGAGTACCGGCTGTAATTCCAAAGTAGTCCAACTCTAAGCAAACAAAAAGGAAGCTAAGGAACAATTGGCTTCTCTCTCTTACAGCCACGCAAATAACATGTTCTCACACAAACTAGCCTAAGACCAAAGAGAATTCAGACAGGAAGCAAGAAAGAACGTTAACCAAGGTCACACTCTAAGCAAAGGAGGTCAATGCACAGCATACATTCTTCCCATTTCCCATAATCATAGCACCCTTTCCTGAAGATCCCAGACATGGTCCCAAATCTTTCACAACACAGAGCACCAGGCATCTATCACTGTCTAATCATAGTTGATCCATGAGTTCAAACATAAGGAGCCACTGCTTCTTTACGAAACAATTTCCATGTCTGCTCATATTTAACATCAGGGTATCACCAACACATGTGCAAAGGCCTGTAGGAAGTAAAACGATTGTAGGTAAAACACCAGAGCCCTTGGCTTGCCTAGGCACCTTGTGGTAGCAAGCATATAGGGCTAAAAGATAAAACATTTGTTGGACCGCAATTTTATCATTTATGTTGGCTTTAGAGCCAAGGTTGACGTTCACCAGAAATTCTACGTGGTCGAAATAAATGGTCATAATAATCCTAGAAAAAGAGAAGTTCTCTCTTCCTTAAAAGAAATATGAACAGCTGACACTGTCCTGGGCTCATTCAGATGTTCTGAGATACAGTGCACCACGTCCATGGTGAGCAGGGTCTCATTGTTCTGAGCAGGTCATGCTGCTCCCAAACTTGCCTACTCCACTCAGCAAAATAAGACTCAGAAATTAACTAGGCCTCACCTCTCTGGAAGAAAGCTTGGCATACTGCCTGATGTATCTCACTATCTAACACCAATGGCTAATCAAAGTATTCCTTCCAACCACATACCAGAGGAAAAAAACAGAATTTTATTCTTCTCATTACAATTCCCATGATGGTTCAGTGGCCTAGTAATGTTTCAGAAACCTTTTATAAAGTGGCTACCTGAATAACTGACCAGCTGGCATTACCACCTAGTCTTGCTCAAGCTATATGGAGCCACGCTTTTGAACCAGAAATTTTCTACTTCCAATTCTGTGAGCTTCACTTCCACAGCTGTATCCTCTTCCTCTTCATCTCACAGAAGTTAACAGGCAAATGAAATAACTGAAAAAATATTGTGAAAGAGATCTATCGCAGAAATCCAGGACACACCCTCACCTGTAGATTTGTGTAGCTTTTTTAAAAACTCTCTGTTACAATAGTCTGTGTGACTTTCACAGCCTAGAAGCTTCACTCAGGGTCACTGGCTGAGAAGAACGTGGAAAGGTATAGCTGAGGGAGCCCAAATGCAGAGTCAGAGGACCTGGGCTCCAGGCCTGGCCCTGTCACTCAAGCTATGTGACCAAAGGCTACGTACTTTAACCCGTGTGTCGTAGTGTATTCGTACCAATATGTAAAAAACTAAAAATAATATATACGCAGGAAAAACTTTTGACTCTGAAAATTACATGTGCTTATGTACATGAAAGGAATCTGCAAAGCACTGTCTAAATAACTCATGTTTCATTGGATATTATCTGACAGTGATGCTAGCTTCCAGAAACTAATTTACTTTTCTTCCTCTTGCAGGATAATTCTATCCAAAAGAAAACAATACTATTTTGTAAAAGGTAAGTAAAGTATCTTTGAGTAAAGTTCCTGGAAAACTGGGAGTTCTACTCGGCCTTCCTGACAGATAGCAAAGTCTTGGAAAGATAGACATATGCACACACACACACACAGAGTCAAGTCAGCAAACTAGTATCGCCAGCAACACTACATTTCTCAGCTCTGATGCTATGACTTATTTGTCCAAAGACAATCAGTAATCCCAACTTTCTATTATTAGAAGCCAAGGAGCTAGTAGTAATCAAAAACAGGAATCTGAGGATCTGAAAGAAACGTGACAAAGCTCATACTTACACCCTTTTCTCACAGCCCTCTATTCAGCCCCTTCTACAACCTGAATTAGCTTGGTATCTGGTTTCCCAGTAGGATCAGTCGATAGGAAATAGGGAGAGGGCTGTTAGATGCAAGTACACCAGTGCCTAACCACAGATAAAAGAGGAAGAACATGATTGGGAAAAGGACACAGCACTTAACAGTGTCTAGCACATAATAATTGCTCAAAAGTACTTGTTGAATTGAATAAGAACTCAGCATTCAAACACCTTAGTGGAGAGCAGTCCTGAAGGAATGACTGTGAAAGCAAGGTAAAATTAGTATTCATGAAGCCCCTACGTTTTCAAGAAAAGGTCAAATTATGTTCAATATAATCTGTTTAAGAAGGCATAGAGAAACATATTCAAAATGGTATGAAGTATGATTTATAAAGCATTCCATCAACATGGTTAACATGAAATTATTGGTGCTTAAAGGTCGGCTCCAACTGTCTGGAAAATTTACTTAAGGAGAATACTCCTTCCTACCAGATAAACGAAGTGTTACATATTTCGATATCCCTCAATACAACCAGCAGAATTTCCCCCCGTAACTCCCAGCCTGCCTTTGTAAACTTCAACACCAGTGCCCAGTATGGAATTGCTGGTATAGACTTCCCAGGCTAAGAATTTTCTTCCTTAAAGAGAAATGTTATCCTTACAAGAACCTGAGAAAACACATCCAGCTAGTGTAGCTCATCATGTCAAACTACATCTTGTTCTGTTCCACCGTCTTGTGGCCACTGGTATACTGGCCACTGACTCAAGAGATCAGAAAGCTAGATCAGTCCTAGGATTTTCTCTGGGAGTATTATCCTACCGCAGAGTCTTCTCATGGGTATTGTGTCCAGCTTTGGAGAGAGATGGGAAGAGGTTTGTAAAGGGCTTTTAATTCCAATTCCTAACAAGAATCTGAACTAGAATGAATTATGGCGCCTGTCACCAAGATCAATCCTCAATGGAAACTTGAGAAAAATCTGAGGGGAGGGGCTGGTTTTGACTGGTTAAGTAGAAGTGGGAAGTTAATTTATCCTGGGGCACAGGCAATCTGACACAGCTGGGTTTAAGGGTAACAGAAGAGAAGAAATGGAGGTTTGCTCTTGTCCCCCTGCTCTAATCACCCCAACATCACCATGAAGTTCATCACCTTGAGATAAACGAAGCCCCCCTCCTTCCCCTGGTCCAGTTACCCTTCGGATTGCTGGGCAGTGCAAAGGCCAGGTGCTTATGAGAGACCAAGAAGAACAGGTAGGGACTAAGTGACTTCAAGCAATAGCTTCAATGCCTCTCCCATTTGTAATTAAGGAATTATTATCTAGGCTAAAGAATGTCAACTTTCTAACGTCATTTCTTTCTGGGGGACAAATTATAAGTGCCTGATTTAGGAAGTTGTTTTGTGGGTGAGGACTGATTGTGGTTTTCTGATGTCTCGGCTCCTGCAGTCCCCACCCGCTGAGTTCACCGGTACTTACATGAATAGGTGCCTGGAGTATATACCTGAGCAACCAATACCTCTAGGATAGATAAGTTTACAAGCCAAAAACAAGACCTTTGAAAAGCACACAACCATTTCAAGAGTAATACAACAAACTGGACTGCATTTCAACAAAAGGAGGATTTAAAAGAATTTACAGTTTCTCTCATAAACATAGTAAAAGGTATTAGTGACATGAAACTAAAACAAGGAAATGTTAAAAATAACCAAGCACAGATATTAAGTAGGAAAGATATAACAGTTGCTATAAATAACAAAACGGCATATAAGCAACAGAATGGATACAGCTGAAGAAAAAGCTAGCAAATCAGAAGACCATATTGGGGAAACCTCCCGGAATTAAGAAATAAAAAAGAAATAGAAGAAATAATAACAGATAATCTAAAAGATATCGAATACAGAAATACAATCATGGTATCCATATAACAGGAATTCAAGAAAGAAAGAAAACTGTAAAGGAAGAAATATTTGAAGAAATAATGGAGATGTATATTCTGAAGTTAAAAAGACAACAGATAAAAGATAAAAAGAAAATAAAATGTGGTGACGAGAGAGTTAACTGGCCAGCCAGTGTGTGGGAAGGGGCTGCCCCTTATAAGGGGTTGTCAGAAAAGGAGACAACAAATTAACGAGATACGTCTGAATATCAAGAAGGAGCCAGACATGCATTTTAGTATTATTTATTGTTTTATCCTCAAGGTTCCTAACCTCTGATTAACGGTTTCTTGGCTTTATCTTTCCAGGGTTTCTCGATGTCTCTTTTTTACCGTCCTATTTTTCATCAGACTTCTGGGCTACGTGTTTTTCCACATAAGTTATATAAATCCAGATCTCCTTATCAACGTACTGCCCCGGATACTGAACAGGGGCATCTTGTGGAAGCTAAGAAGCTTCCTCTTTCCATCTCTCACGCTGGAGACAGAGGACATGTTACCTCATTGATTCCTGACAAACACCCTTGAACAACAGAAGACAAGTGGCAGCCGAGCCTGTAGACTAGGAGACGGTGGAGCATGCAGAGGGAAGAGGTTTTCTTCAGAATTTTTCCCTTCAGGTTTACTTACTTGACTATCTTCCCTCTCCGTTTTCTTTCCAAGATTGACCTTGTCCAGTAAAGAGCTCTGTCAATAGGCTCCTGTGGCTATATTTATAACCCCAATAGTGCCAGGCATAAACAAAGGAAGCCATGACCCTTTCTAGAATGATGTCATAGATGCAACTTAAGGTTGAGAAGTTTTTCTAGAGAATCTCAAAACACAAGGGACTGGATCCCTGCCATGCAGAAGACTGTTCATTGCTTATAGTAGTTAGAACTCTTTGGTTGCAAGTGAACTTAGCTTCAGCTAACTTGTAACCAAAAAAAGAAAGAAAGAAAGAAAGATTGTATCATGGAACTAACAACTCCATGAATCAATCTGCAGCTTCAGGCATGGCTGGATCCAGGTGCCTCAAACAATGTCATCAGGGCTTCATCTCTCTTTCTTCTCTCTTTGGACAGGGATTGTTCTTGTAGTAGCAAGACAGCTGCCAACAGCCTAAGAGTTTCATACTACCAGATTAGCAACCTCAGCAGAATGAAAGTCTTTTCCAATAGCTCCAGCAGTAAAGTCCAGAGACAGACACAAAGTAGTCTATCTGAGGTCAACTGACTGTTCCACAATAAGTATGGTCACAGGGATGGGGTACTCTGGTCAAGCATGAGTCACATGTCCAACCCCTTGTGAGGGACAGGAGAGTGATGAGGGCAGAAAGAGAAAAGGGTGTCACCTCCACCTAAACATACATATAGGATATATCTCCCAAAGGAAAGAGGGATTCAGCTCCCAGAGAAGGAGAGAATGGTCCTGTGAAGGCAAAAGCAGATGCCCCTTAATTACTAATTTCAGCCTTCCACAGAAACATATAACTGTCCATTAAACAAACTCTCCAAGCCGTACCTCACTTCACATGTCTTCCTACCAGCAATACTGTAACTTCTCAGGATCATATATACATAGATACTGGACAACTATTGCAAAGAGCTCAGTGTAAGAACCATGTATATAATTAGGTCTCTAAGACTAAAGAAAGGAACGCTGGTGGCGCAGTGGTCAAGCGCTCGGCTGCTAACCAAAAAGGTCGGCAGTCTGAACCCACCAGGTGCTCCTCGGAAGAAAGACATGGAAGTCTGCTTCGTAAAGACTTCAGGCTAGGAAACCCTGTGGGGCAGCTCTACTCTGTCCTACAGGGTTGCTATGAGTTGGAATTGACTCGACAGCAACGAGTTTGTTTTTGGTTTTTAGGGCTAAAGTAAGCAAGAGTTGTAAAATCAACAGCATGTGACTGGTATAAAACTGCCTTGCAAATTGAAGGTAACCTATATATGGTCATAGCTCTTATTTTTCCACTTAACTGCTGAAGCACTCACGTGCCTTATTAACACTCCCACCCCTCTTAAAGCTTTCTCTCCCTCCTACATTGTCAAGAGCCCTGCAGCTCTGGAGTCCAAGCACAGGGAGGGAGGGGTTATTCTGGCTTTCACACAGTAGGGAAAGAACCTGTCACTGGTCTACCGCTGTGGCTTCTCAAGGCCACCAGGTGTCACTGCTGAAAACTGATCCTGCACAGGGTGATCTAATTATCATCCATATGGAGACATGCTTGATAATAAGAAGGGTCGCTATGAGTTGGAATCAACTCGACGGCAACGGGGTTTGGTTTTTGGTTTATCAAGAATTATGCCAAGACAAAAGAACTCCAACAGGACTGTTACAGCAAGCCAGGAAGTATGTTTCTTTACATACAGTCCAAGATCCTGTTTACACTGTGTGTTTTACTGAGGCAGGTGGATACGGCTCTTCTGCTTTGAGCTCAGCAAAGGTTGACTCATGCTTCGGGGTCCCCACGCCTGAGCTCAAGGTATGCAGCCCCCTTCATTTGCACTCGCGGCCCTCTGCTCCAGGGTCAAGTTCCTGGAGGATCAAGACTGATTCCAGTTTCTGCAACCCTCACTTTTGCCTTCCCAGGAAACCCTTCAGTCCCAGAGAGTCAGCTATTCCTTGGAGACCCATCCCTCAGAGACCAGGAGTTTTCCTTTCTGAAGATTCAACCCTCAAAACACAACGTGCCTGATCATAATCTTAGCTACAACCCAGCCCGCCAAGGGAGGCTGCTACCACACAGCCCGCCAAGGGAGGCTGCTACCACACAGCCCGCCAAGGGAGGCTGCTACCACACAGCCCGCCAAGGGAGGCTGCTACCAGGGGCTCCAAGGGCTGCATCTTCCCTTCCAGGCACTTTCCAGGCATTTTCTGACACTTCTGCTCTGAAGAAGAGAACCATGTTTACTATAAGGCAGTATTAGAGCTGTTAATCTTTCCTACGGTCAAGTGGGATTTTCTGATCTGGTATTAGCTGGTCTGTTTAGTCAGCGTCTCCACAGAGCTACGGTTCAAAATAATTACTGCTCATAATGACGAGTTCATACTGAAGAGAAGAGAAAGGAAGGGAAGGGGAAATCTGTTCAATCTCTAGTACTAAGTACTATGCTAGTGCTGGGGATTAAAGACAAAGAAGACAATCTTTGTCCTTGAGAGGGTGGGAAGAAGAGACAGATATGTGCACAAGATGAACCTCACAACAGAATAACAGAGGAGGGGTGATTCCTCATGCCAACGTCCATTAGGAGGTGCCATCGGATCCACGGATTATGCTAGACTGAGGGGGAGAACGACATGCCAAGCACTCAGTGAGCTGGCCACGTATCAGCAAAGCCATTCTACACTGAAGGACTGAAAGCTTCTTCCACTCTAGAAGAATGTTTTAAATAGGGGTAACCAAACTCGTTGCAGAAACACTGGTGGCATAGTGGTTAAGAGCTATGGCTGCTAACCAAAAGGCTGGCAGTTCAAATCCATCAGATGCTCCTTGGAAACCCTCTGGGGCAGTTCTACTCTGTCCTATAGGGTCACTATGGGTCGGAATCGACCCGATGGCAACGGGTTTGGTTTTTTTGGTAAACTCGTTCCCGTCGAGTCAATTCTGACTCACAGCAACCCTAACGGTAACTAAAGCACCAAAAACTTGAGCAACTTAGAATTGATAAGTTATTCTTTAACCCCAGGCTTCAGAGAAAACCAAACCCTGTTCTCTTGGCAATCACCAGAGTAATGCACAAATACACGTAGTGTGATGATCCAAATAACTCTTGGTTATTTACTCAGCACACCGAATGGAAATACTGGATGCCATGTCAAGACCTCAGGGCTTCCCAGAAAGATCTGCATCTTATGCACCTTTTCTTCCCACACCAAATGGCAGTGGAGTTCAGGTTCAGTGCAATGGGGGATGATTTGCTCCCACTGCACCACCTATGCTGTATTCAACTGGACTTCATTTTTGCCAGAAGTGACCCTCGAGGTGTGGAAGGCTCCCATCTTCCAACAGCCAGCAACATGACAGAATAAGAACTCCATCCACATTCTCTACACTCATGAATCTGAACCTCAGAATCATGGGGAAAATGCACTTTCACACACTGTGGTTTTACAGTCGTTTATTTTTTAAAAATATTTCATTAGTCATCACTGCATATTCTCTGCTGTAGCCAACTGTTCAGTTAGAATAATGCTAAGAAACAGACCAAAAATTATTGTAGAAGACTTAGATCCCTCCAATTCACAGAACTTCTCCTTTTGTTGTTTAAAGTAATCTGTTTTGTAGGTAAATGTTGACTGTATGGTTGGGGGGGTCACCCCTGGAATACAGTTGCTGAGGGCTGCTCAGATGGTAGAAAGAGCCAGCAAAAACAGTTCTCATCATGTAACATGACTGCTGTAGAAGGGGCTCTGCGGTGTGTTAGATGGTTTTATTTTTTAAAAAAATTGAAAACTACGTTGATTCCTTGCCGGTGGAAACTGCTGGCAATGAACTGCTGTTTCATATCTTTTTATTTCATCACAGCTATTAACGGTTTCCTAAAAGGAGTTAAATTTTTTATTTTACGGTACCGAGAACCATCTTTTAAAGACAAGGTTCAATGATTAAAATCACTGTCCGGAAAACTCCGATAAAGAGCAAAGCTAACAGCAACTTTTCTGTTTGTCCTGGAAACGCTGGGAAGGGGCCATTGACACACACAGTTTGGGGTCAGAAGCCTCCTCGGAAACAAGCGGAGGGGAGGGGCTCCGCTGCTGGCTGTCCTACTTCCCCTGCTGAGTATCTGCAGCTGAGGCGGCTATAGGTGCAGCATCTGTCCTGCCAAACAGCGACTCCGTCCCTGCAGACGACAAACAGACTGGCTACTGGGCTGCTGCGCGTCCCTCCTGATCTGGGCACGGCTGCAAGGTTCCCCCATGAGCAGCAGAGGGCTCTGTTCCACGCCACAGGCAGGGTCCCCTGGAAGCCAGTACTTTCAACAAGAAAACTTCATTCGGCTATCGGTCGGAATCAACTCGAAGACAACGGGTTTAGTTTGGTTTACTGACAGAACAGATGAAGGTCCATGATAAGGGCAAAGCTGTTGATTTTTCGCGGGTTTGTAGGCCACAGCTGAGTTTGAACATCAAGAACATAGCTGGTCAACTATGAGTATCCCATGCCAAGTCTGAGTTACTACCTACAATTATCCCTAAAATCTTCAGAATGTGCACAGATGTAAGGATTTCTTTAGACAATCTCTATTCTCATTCCTGTGTGTACCCTGAAGCAAGACACCACACTTTGATAAATCCCCAAAATAGTTCTAATTCCACAATGATATGTATATATCTATATATATATAAAGAACTACATATATACACGTAAATATGTGTGTGTGTGTGTGTGTATATATATACATATTCACACACACACACACACACACACACACACACATCTATATATATACAGGGAGCCCAGGTAGCACAGTGGGTAAGCCCTTGGCTGCTAACCAAATGGTAGGTGGTTCAAACTCACCAGCCATTCTACTGGAGGAAGATGTGGCAGTCTGCTTCTATAAAGATTTACAGCCTTGGAAGCCCTATGGGGCAGCTCTACTCTGTCCTATAGTGTTGCTATGACTTGATGGCAATGTATATATATATATATAACATATACATATAATGGGGTTTTTTGGTTTATAGTGGTGCTCATGAAGATGCCTCGCAGAAGGAGGGCACGGTTCGCAATCAACATAGAAGGTGTGCCTTATTTGTGTAAAACTATGGTGTGTGTGTGTGTATTTAAAAACCCACTGCTGTTGAGTCGATTCCGACTCACAGAGACCCTATAGGACAGAGCAGAGCGGCCCCATAGGGTTTCCAAGGAGCAGCTGGTGGATTTGAACTGCCGACCTTTTGGTTAGCAGCTGTAGCTCTTAACCACCACGCCACCAGGGTTTA